TCCTGCCAGCATATCTTAAAAAGCTACACAAAGGAACTACAACTCTAATATCTGTAATGCAATCTGTAGTTCTAAGATAAGTTCTAAGATTGAAAGGAGGGGAAAAACAAGTGCACTACTACAAACCTGTGTTTTCAGCTTCCATTACTTATAAGGTTATAATGGATTTGACTGCCTTTGGTATTAGTAATTTCCCCAATGAATCTGTGGGTGGAACAAAAATGTGGAAATGAAAACTGAGAGGGTATTGTATGTTCAAAATATCCACCTCCACTCACACACAGTAGATTTGATTCAAGCTGCCATCTTTCCATGCTTCAGTTTTCCTATTTGTAAAATGGTTCAAGTCAGAATATGCTCTTTTACCACCACTAAACTTCTTCTCCCAACTTAGTTCCCTTGTGTTCCCACGTTCATTTCCTCTTCTTAAGATGAAAGGAGAGAAATCATTATTAAAACTGCTTATAAGCAAGCTTACTTGATTCCCTCCCAGTGGCTGCGCTCCTAGGTGCTATCACTCCGAAGGCTGTACACATGCTGGGACACGAGTCCCCTGTGCAGCCATCCTCAGTGATGAGGTGAAGGTCTATCTTCCTTGGCCAGTCACCCACGATCTTATCCTCTGATGCCTACCAAACATCATAAGCATCACAATTACATACCATACCTCTCCAAGTATTTGAATATGAATTATTGTTAAATGAGTAAGAGAGGATATTGGTGACATCCGATAGAAGTAGTGTAAACTTCCTTTCCAATAACCTTAACTTCCTGAACATCTAAACTCTTTAAACTCATAAAACAACATGAAAAAGTGTATAATGAGTGGATAAATAATATTTTATGCTGCTGGCATATGGGAGATGTTTAGCTTGTCGTATCAGAGGATGGTATAAACATTTCCATTCAGACAATTAGACTTCTCCCTCCAGTCTGCAGTTTTAAGCACTTATTTTACTCTGATTTGTCAAAAACCTTTATGGCACCTACCAGCAAAAGCCTGGAGCAAAATTCTGTTTAGATTTCTAACCATCTTAAATAGCATCCTAGAATTAATTAGTATCCATTTTCCTGGCATAAATTCAGTAGTAGAAAGGAATGAAAAATTCTTGCATTGCAGGAACACATAGCAGGCATGAATCTCTTTGGCAGTGCCTACTCAGGTTCCCGCTCTTATTAAAATGCATGTTAGAACTTATGTTGATGAGTGGTAGAGCTCAAATCTAACTCAGTTTGACTTAACTTCTACCAGACTGGCATACAAGACTTGGCAAGTTTAACCGGCTGGAGTCCCGCATATAAGGAGTCCACTGATTCCACATGAATGTAATGCAAAGAAAGTATTACTGAGATATGACTGGCATCAAGTAACACCAGGCAGTAACCATGAAAAAATCTTTAAGAAACACTCAAGCTAGTAGTTACACCTTACATGCAAATCATGACAGTTTGGAACATGAGAGGTAGTAAAATCGTTTGAACAGCCATAGTCAAAAACCAGTAAAATAAATCTACACGAACCTGTCAGCATCACTTGGACTACAAAGGCCGTGAATGCAAAATGTCATCCTGTTAATTTTGGTACTTTCCATTAGTTCTCGATTATTGTTTACAAGTATAACCTTACTTTGGAATATTATGATTTTCTTGTTTTCCTTTTTTTGAGAAAACTGTGTTATAATCATTCAGATGTACAACAGTTGATCAACATTTAAATCATGTATTTGACTCATTTTTGATCTGACAAAATAAAAATCAAATGATTTTGGACTGAGGGGGGTTGCTGCCCAGGGCTGGGGGACATGTTGTGGGTGCAGGGGAAGAGCAGCTTGGGAGCCCATAGGATTTATTATATAATATATACACTACGGTGGCTGGTAAGTAGTTGGCTGGTGGGCATGCTTGTCAGCCATGTCCTGCGCCTGGCCAGCACAGCCTGTCACAGCTGCTCACCACAGCCCTTCCTCACTCTGTCCTGGGTGATCCAGGAGCAGCTGCTGGGCAGGCTGAGGGTCTGAGCCCGCTGCCAGAGGGACCCCCCTCGTCCCTACGGGTGTGCATGCTGTCACTGGTGGACTGCATCCTGCTCCACCAGAGAGGGGAGCAGGATGAGCTCCTCGGTGCTGTCTGTGTCTGTGTGAGTGCTTTGGATGTCTGTCTGATCCGTGTGTCCAGACACGTGTATAGGTATGTACATGGCGTGTATGTGTGCTTTGTGTGCATCTGCCTGCTGGGAACTCGTCTCCAGCCTCAGTGTTGGTTGGACTCTGGGACATGGAGCTGAGCAGCATCACCTCTCCCAGGCTCTTGGATCTGGCAGGATATATTTGCTCATATTTGTCTCCTACACTTTTTTTTTTAACTTCTGTCACTTTACCAACAAGTTGCTAAACACTAATTGCGAACAGTGCTGCGATATTTCTTGAATGTTACATGGTTTCCCATAAGAAAAACCCAGCAAAAAAAAATTATTCTAAAAGAATATATTATAATAAGGCAGAACAAAACATAAGAATTTTCCAAAGACTGAATGAAGTAGGCAAGGTGAAAATAACAAAAGGATGTCTGCAGTATAAATGATTAGTAACTTCCACTCAATTTTGATAACAAGGGTTTATAGAACATGAAAGAAAAAAAAATTAATGGACTGACTGTCATAACACAGGGAGAATTAAAAGAAAAGGACTAAAAATTAATTGTTTGAATAGAATGTGGTTAGCTGCTCTGAGCTTCTGGAAATATAGAGATCTTGTCTGTGGACATTGGTGGGCTGCTGGGCAATCCTCTTCCTGAGGCTTCTTTACATAATGGATGTCTACTCCAAAGGACATCCATTTCAGAAGCTAATGAATGGGGTACAAAGATGTGGAAGTTATTTTATCTTCAAGAACCATGATTAAGTAACCAGACAAAAAACCTATCACTTTGAAAAGGAAAAATGAAAAACAGAAATTACTTAGATACACTCCTGAAGGGTAAAGCAGTTCCTCATCCCTGTATTCCGGCTATCTCATGTCTATACACAGAGAACGATCTCCAGGAGTCTAATGTTTGTGACAACTTCTTGCACGTAGGTCTGGAGAGCAAAGAGATGAACTGAAGAAGGAACTGCGTCACGCAAAATGGCCTTAGTTCATGGAGAGGTGTCAGGAAGGAAGTATCAGAACAGGTTCCTAGCTCTCGGAGAAATGAACTAGGAGGCTCTCTGGTGAGAGAGACTCTGTCGGCTCTGTCCTGACCTACTTGGCTGCAATCTGCATGCAAGGTTTGGAATTAAAATTAGTACTCTGTGGTCTGGACTGAAGAGTTACTGAGCATTCAGGTTGTCCACTCTACATTTCAGCAGTGCCTCACTGCTACCCTGCAGCTTCATCTACTATAAAATTCCTTAGAGACTGAGACACGTAGAAATGAGTAAAACTAGAAACATAACAAAAAAAAAATTCATTAAGAGTATCATTTTGCTTTGAAAATACATTGGACTGCACAAAAAGCCTGTATGTTTGTTTGCTTATTTGTTTACATTTCCAGAATTGTTGCAATATGTTCATGTATATTCTCAAGTTATTCTTGATGTAACTGTCCATAACCACAGCAGTTTAAGATAACAAACTCCATCTCACCTTTGAATAATTTCTTCTTCCTAACACATGCACATACACACTGCAGTTTTCAAATGCTGGGCAAAAAAAAGGAATAAGTCAGATGTTAAGTGCTCTGGATGACATGTGATAATTGAAATCCATAATTATAAGGTCTTCACATTTACTCTCACTTTATCACATGTAGACCTTGGCAATGGTTTCTAGAGCCTGTGGGGCTTTGCTGGTCTCAACTGGACTGATATGGGCACAGGATGACAGGCAGTCTCTAGGACACTAAGACAATCAGAACTTTAAAGATAAATCAGCACCCTAAAACTAGACACGGAAACTCACAAACTCAGGACAGGGAGCGGGTGCTGGATGTCCTTCCTCCATCTACCAAATAAGCTCAGCATCTTGCAAAAATTTCCATTTCTGGATGGACATGAGATATATCCTCCACCTCACTCCTAAGTAAATACATTGCTAACAGAGAATTAAAAATTGGAGTCCTTTGAGGAAGCTATCAAAAACCTATCTATATCTTGCATGTCAGTCTTCAAACTGAGAATGTTAGAAATACTCAAATATTAGAAATAACTAGAGTCATTATGGAGGTACTCTCATTACCACCGGGTCAACAAAAACAAGGCAGTATTGTGTTAGGGCAGTGGAATATTGAAGACACCCACAGACACGTCAAAAGCATGGTTGGAACAAGAAAGGCCCCTGAAACAGATTGTTCCGCCACCACATCCGGGTGCCAGCAAACAGGTTTAATTTCTGAGTGTCTTAATCATAGCATTTATCTGGCAGCCTTTCAGAAGTGTTGCTGCAATTACCTATTTTCCTTGTAAGCTAGGATTAGTATAATACAAATACAGGTAAGCTGCCACATGACAATACAGTATTTGTTAGGACTTCATCCAGATTTCTGGGAAAAGAAAGACAGTATTACTTAAACACTGATTTGGATGAACACCTGTGATAATTATAAAGGAGACAATCAACAGCACAGTAGTAGAATACAAATATTAACTGTGACTCCGTTGTGGAACAGGAAGGAAAAAAGAAGGAAGGAAAAAAGAGAAAAGAAGAAACAAAGGAAGGAAAAGAAGGAAAGAAGAACCAGGTCATGTGCTGACTGGGAAAATGTGACATGGGACCATGATGCAGAAACAACATTTTTAGATGCTAATAATAATGACTGTATCAAGGAGCAACCAAGTAGGTGGTATACAAGAGGGGAAATAACCCTCATTATGGTTCAAGCAACGCACACACAGGACCTGTTCCAAAATTTTAGCACTGAAGAACTGCACTGCAACGGTGGCTATAGCTTGCCCTGCAGAAGCAAAAAGTATGCAAAACCCCCAAATCCACCAGACCTATGCTCAACAGAAAAAAAAATACAAAATGAGGATCCTGGTCAAAGGTAAAGCTGGAGAGGAGACCAAAAAGAGTTAGGTTCTTACAAGTGCTGATTCCTGAAAAGTATCATTTTGGAGAGACAGACCAAACTTATACCACCAATCAAGAATGAACTGACAAAGGTTGAGAGGAAGCTGGAACAACTAAACAGCGGGAATAAGGCAAGTTAGTAGAAGAAAGAAGTAATCCTTTGAAAAACTGAAGTTGTGTCCAATATATTAAACCCAAACCAAAACAGATCATAAGCATGAGATGACTGCCTGAATAGAATATGCAGAAAAAAAAAATGAGTAAGAAATCATCCTTTACATGTATCTGGAACAGCAAGCCTGTCAAGAGTCCAAGGCCAATGGACAGTGAAGATATAAAAAGAGCACTCAGAGAAGATAAGGGCCTATCAGGCAAGCAAAATGAGTTCTTGACATCCGCCTGCACTGTGGAAGAGGCAGGAGATGTTCCTCTGCTGGAGTCCTTCTTTGCAAGGCATGAATAGGAGGGATCTGCCTGAACAGTTAACAAGGCAACAGGTCCAAATGGCACTCAGCCCTAAGCTCGAGAGGAACTCAAGGACGAAACTGCTGAATTATTAACTCTGATGCACAGCATCTTAAAACCTGGTTTGTGCCTGAGGTCAGGAACTTTGGAAAAGAGATACCTATTTTTAATGATTTGAGGGGAGATCTGTGGATCTACAGGCTTGTAAGTCTGGTGCCTGTCATCAGACAAATCATGAGAAACTACAACAAAGCACACAATCAGCGGACACATGGGCAAATATAATTTTTGGAGTGTCAGCACAGCTCTTGTACATTTGGAGTATACCAGAGTTTTCTGAAGCCATTCACAGGCAAGTAGATAAGATTTGGTTGAAACTATTTACATGGTTTTCTGAAACACTTTTGACAAGATCTCTTGCCAAAGGCTTTTAAGGAAACTAAGGATCAATGAAATAAGAGGGAAGCTCCGTGTTTTGATAAATAGCTGATTTAAACACAGGAAAGAGAATAGGACTAAGGGGCCTGTTCACACAGTAAAAGGAGATCCACAGTGCACTCAGAAGCTAAACACTGTGTGCACATCTCAAAGAGGACCTGGTAGAACCAGAGAGGAGCATGGATGTGTGGTACCGTGGCCACACGAGCAAGGACTTAGAGTTCTGCTTGGAAGAGGCAAACGGGAGAGAGATCTAGTCAAGGTCTAAACGGCCACGATAGTCATGTCATAAAGTGGCTGCATTTTCCAGTGTTTCATATTGGGTATCAAATGAGCACTACGGAGTATCCGGTGAAGCTGGCAAATTGCAAGTTCAAAGTAGAAAAAGGAGGCAGTTCCTCAGACTACGTTTACACGTGGAAGTCCCTGCCACAGGACACTGGGGAAGCTGCATAATGTCAGGGGGAAAACAGACAAGTTCATGGAAAAGAAAGCCCCTCTGGCTTGCTTAGCTGTGCCCTAGCTGCAAACTGCTGGAGGCTGGGAAAGTACCTGTAAGACCTGTGCTTGCCCTCTTCTTAGGCAGTCTTTCCTTGGTGGCCACCGCTGCAGGCTGGTCTTTGGACTAAAGTCTTCTTCTGACCCAGAACAGCTGTTCTGTTCTGATCTTCTTATGTGGAGGTTCATACGGACATTAAACTCCCTTTACCAATGCTGACAGGCATTCTCACAGACCCTTCTGAGGCCCTCCAGTGCCGAAAGGACATGTCTGGTGACGAAAGTCACTGCTGATAATGGTAAGACATTGAGCCAACTGCACCTGATACTTTCTCCAGTAAGAGTATGTATTATACATGTATATATAAATATTAATCCAATGTTCCCAAGTTTTTGAACTACCAAAACCAAATGTGGAATTTTCAGTAGTGCTTTTGCATCTTTCACAGGACACTGAAAACCTCCACAGCTCCTCCGTCCACACTTTGTAAAGAAAAAAAAAATTGTTAATGTTCTGTGGTATATAATCTTAGCTAGAATTAGAGTAATTTATTGCTTACTTTTATTTAATGTGTTAATGTGTTATCGGGTTGTTTTTTTTTTTTTCACTGATGATACCCAGACTCTACTGTGTTAATGTTTCAAGTAGTGGTATGTCAGAAACATTTAATTTGACAGGAATTTAATTAAAAGCTTAAAGTGAATATTATTTTTTTTTCTTCAAAGTGTATTTTTTAGTACCAATGGCATTTTACTTGGCAGTTAATAGGAGCATGTGTGCCTTTTATTCTCCTTTACTGTTACAGATTCTCTCACCCTTCTCGCAGGCCACGTGAAGTCCCAGGAGCTTTATGAAGACTTGGTCTATTTTCCGCTTACTCTTGTCAGTTTCCCATACAGTGGTATTTCTTAATCTCCTTGATGCTTTTGGTTCTGAGATGCCTGCATTTTCCTTATCCATATTCTTATTCTTGGGTCCTCTATTTCCTTGTCTTTCATGGGGACTGTGGTAGCATCCTCAGTTCTTTGCTTTCTTCAAAGCCAGTATTTAGCATTATCTCACTTTATATTAGATGGATGCACATCACAAAACGTATCTGCTATGAGCGCTACACCTGGTCTTTTTCTCTCATTTCCGTAACGTTCTCCCTCGTGTGGAACCACGTGGCCCTACTGTCTTTCCACTAGGATGATGCACTCTTCTCTCTTAGGGCTTTTCTGCGCCCCATTTTCTTGCCATTAGCATACTCTTCCCAGCCAGTTCCCTCTTCCTTCTTCTAAGAAGGAAACTCTTCTTGAAGCCTGAAGTGCAAGGGCATCTGCCACCTCTTTCGCTCAGACCGGTGCTTCGGCCTCCCTCAGTATGAGCGAGGCCAACCTGATCACTGATGCTGGGGATGTAAAACTGCGGGACAGGTTAAATGTTTGAGCATTGCATTGCAATAATATAAACAAAGACAAAGAGGACCTGACATCAGCCAGGCTGTGGGCCTCGCGGGTGTAGCCAATACATATCTAGCCTTATATATAGAATGCTGTTTGATTAAAATAGCTAATCATAATACAATCCCATCATCACCAACTGTATCATGAGTATGGGATTTCACTCACTGAGATGCTTCCCTCCTCTTTCCTGTTATTACTTACTTATACAGGAAATGGACAGAAATAACCGTTTCCAAATCTAAATTGCTTCCGAACACCTTAACATATGACATTCTATGCAGGTGTTGATCACGCAGTGTTTGTCGGCTCATGCAAAATGTACAGTGGATGAATTTTTTTGCACATCATCTGCTGTTCTAGTGATGTTTGCTTTCAATTTTGAACCAAATTCCTTTATTTTGACTTGTTCTCTTTGTCATCCCGTTTTTCAAGTTCTTGCTCCCTGACAAAAGTAAAAATTTCACCATGGTGTAATCTTGTATTTTCCAGTTCACTCACGGATTTTTGTTTATTCCTTATACTCTGAAAATTTACTGAATCCTGTCTTTTTTAATCTGTTACTCTTGGGAGTTTTGGAGTCCATCAAGGAATTTCTCAAACAATTTTGAAGTATATGATTTTTGTTCTTTTTCTAGAGCAGTGTTTGAACAGGAAAGTATCAGTACACCCATGTTTTCAACCTGCTGAAGTGTCCTCAGCTCCTTTATGCATATACACACCCTAAAACTGAAATACTTCTTCCTCTAAGTAACCGTTAAGAAAAAGCAAGCTTTGTTTTATAATTCCAGTCCTTTTCTGTTGGACTTCACGACGTTTGTTGTTAATGTCAGTAAAACAGTAGAGATGTGGTGAGCTAGAAAACAGACGTTGGCACTCAAGAGTTTGCTAGACAAAAGTGAAAAATATAAAAAACTGCGTATCCTTAGGGAAAAAGATTTGGAACCAAGAAGTACCAACCAAAACGTTTTCGAGGTAAAGAGGTTCCATATCTTGAGAGGACTAACTTCAGTGAATGTTTGCTTGATGATTTTTAGCAACTAAATAAAGTAAAATTTTTTTGGCAACTGTTGCCCGAGTCTCCTGCTATTCTGTGAGCAACTATTTACAAGTATAAAGACAATAAAAATACATGATGAAAAATTGTTGGTGGATCCATTTCCAGTTTCTTACTACAGAAGCAGAAGCATTTTACGTACATCTGAAGTTTCTTTTTCACAGCCTCAGAGCTAACCTCCCATGCTCTAATGGATTACCCAGGCACTTATGCTCCACTGAGAGGGGAGGCAGAACAACTGCATTTTTTAAATTAAAGAACTAACCACATATACTTTTGGAGAAAGAATACCATTTAAGAGACTAGGGGCAAAGAGTTGCAACACAGGACACAAAAAAAAGACTTACTACTGACATTAGATGTGTTAGGCGAGAACATGGTTTTTACAGCACAGGAAGGATCTAGATGCTGGAAGGCCACAACAGGGCTCAAACGACCACCTACTTTTGCTCTCCTCGTTTATTTTTCCTTCAGGGCACCCGTGGGCACCCATCCTTGCGCACCCCCAGCACTCGCTGGTGCACGCTCACCCGCAAGCACCCATCTCATCCTCGCACTTTCTCAGCCAAGCCGTACATCCGCACCCTTTACGCCCGGACAACGTTAAGGAGCAGCTAGGTGGCGTACGGCAAAGATCAAGATGGGGCGGCTCACAGCCGGACCGGGGGTTTGGCAGGGCTGTGAGCAGGCGAGGGGCC